GTGGGCCGGAGCCGCTGACAGGGGGCGGCGGCGGAGGAGGAGGCGAGGCAAGACCTGCGGCTCGGCCTGGCCGCAGCCGCGGTAGCTCTAGGCAAGTCCACCGAGCCACTCCGGCCTCAGCCTGCCTGCGAACCTCTCGCCCCCGCCCACCCTTTCAATCGCCCGGTTGCCGGCTCTCCTGCCCGCCGGACTCGTCCGGGGTGGCCTAGTCTGCACCACCCGCCGGGCTCCTGGGGCCGCCGCCCCGCGCGGTCCTGTTGGCGTTCCTGGCCGCGCCCGGCCCCTGGCCCACTCGCCCGCCGGCACCATGATGGAGGAGATCGACCGGTTCCAGGTGCCCACCGCGCACTCGGAGATGCAACCGCTGGTGAGGGGGCGGGCGGCGGGCAGGCCAGAGCCGGGATGGGAGGCCGCCTGAGGGGGAGGGAGGGAATCAGGCCGTGAGGATGTGCGGAGGGAGCATCACCGGATGGGGCAGAGAGCCTTGAAAACGCATTGCCGGAGGAGGGAGACTTGCAGGACGAGAAAACCATGGGGGAACCCTCAGGGTGAGAGCATAGGGTCCTGTAAAGGCAGACAGCGCCGTCTGCGGAGGCAGAACGCCGTCGGATGGAACCGAGGAGGGCACAATGGTGCACACCGTTAGTGGAGGCCCACAGCGGGGGATGCGAGGAAACTGTCATGAGGAACCGCCAGCTGCGGGCCCAGGGGGCTGGGATGGGATGTGGGAGGCGTTTAGCCTTAGAGGCCTGGGATTCTCAGGGCGGAGAGGAGGCCTGGGGAGCCGTCTGGCTAAGGTACTGGGAACAGGCTTTCAGAAGACAAGGGGCCTGCCCACCAGTCCACTGGATATGGATAGGGATGCCGGCCAAGGGACCAGTGGGGACAGGAGGTAGTGCAGGGCCTGGGAATTCCGTTCTCCAGAGGAGAGTACAGGCAGTTCAGGTTGGGGGTGTTGGAACTGGGGAGGAGAGTGCGAGGCGGAGAAACTGGAGTGCAGATCAGAGCACTCTGGAACCGACCGGAGAGGAGGTGGAGCCGCCTGTGGCCACTGGTTTGGAAGAGCCCCATCATCCTAGGCCTGCGTGCTTGGAGTCCTTGCTGGGCGCGGATTCTGCTGCCTTTCCGCGGTCCCGGAGTCAGGAAGGAATGATGTCATTGCTGCCTGTGCGAAGGGGATGGAAGGGGGAGGGCGACGCGGGTGCACCGAGGCCAGGCCTAAAGGAGACCATGCCCGCTAGCCACTGCTGTGAGGGTGGGGGACACCTGACTGGCTTGTGTGCCTGGCGATGAATAGGGGCGGAGGAGCAGACGCGGAGGCCTAGCCAGCTGGTAGAGAGGTGAGTTGGCGGGGAGGGAGCGTTTAGGCTCTGTTCGTGTTTCTCCTTTGGAGCCCAAGGGAGCTGGAAGGAAGCAGTGCAGGCTAAGAACCTCAAGGGTGGATGTCTATTCGCTGATCTCTGCTGGAGCCCAGCTGAACTCTCCAAGTCCTGAAGTTCTGGGGCTCTTCATGTTAGGACACAAACATAGGAGTAACCAAGAGCAGGTTCTCTACCCTTGGGCTGTGCAGCCCCCTGATGGGCAGATGTGCTTTGCGACTTCCTGAGCAAGTAACTTTCCCATTATAGCAGCCAAGATGGGTCTTGGCAGGAACCCGAGACCTCTATGCCACCCCTTTTGGGAGGTGGTAGAAAGATTCATTAGTGACTACCTATCCAGAGATAAGTGCCTTTTTTTTTTCCCTCTCCTTTTGTAACTATTTGGACAGTTCTAGAATTTCAAACACAGATGCTTTACAAAAGTGTACAGTATGAAACTAGCGAGAAAGATGCTGCAGGACTTTTTTTTTTTTTTTTTTTTTTTTTTTTTTTTTTTTTTTTTTTTTGCCTGATGCCGTTATCAGATTATTTGGGAGAGAAAAAAATCCTGGAAAGAAGTCCATCCCATGAACTTGAAGAAAGGCTTTGGGTTACATTAAAATAATTTTTCTTTTTGAGTTTTCTTTCCAGCCAACTTGGCTTGTTAGACCAGACTGCCCTTCCAGTTCTAAGCATTTGCTCAAGAACCCAAAGGGAGGGTGAGTGAAGGAGGAGGAGATTTAAGAAGAAGGAAACAATGAGTTGATTCTGGTGTTCCACCTGGGATTCTTGAGAAGGGAGGCAATAGCTATTCAAGGAAAGGGAAGAATGACCACTAGGATCTCTCAGTTGTCCTTAGTATCTCTATTACTGCCTGAAGTTCTGAATAGTGTTTTGACTGGGTAGAGAATTCCTGAGCCATTTCTGGATCTGCGTGACTCTGAAGTAGGAAAAGTGCTTGTAACAAGGAGGCAGGAGGCACTTCCAGGATAGCTATGGCTTTCTTCAGACCTATTTTTTTCAGGGCTAATGTAGCCCTTGTCTGCAAGAGACTCCTTTGCTGAGGTTGAGTAGGAAGGAGCCTTATGGAAATAGTAGTATAGATACAGTTATTCCCTATTTGTGAGTGAAGACATTGTCCTGCTTCTTGACCTCTGTCACCAGGTTATAGTCCAGAGGCATCTCAAAACTCCTTAAATGCCCAGTATATTGTTGAGACCAAAATAATCATGTGTGGTATTTCCCCAGGGGACTTCAGTTTGGTGTATAGGGAATCAAGATAGCATACTATAAGTAAAGGGCAGGAAGAGAAGGCAAAATGGCTCTTTAGGGGCATTTGAGAGGTACCAATTAGGGTCTCAGACTTAGACTAAGCTGCGACCTTCATTTTTTGCCATTATTTATTGAGACCTCCAGGAAATCTCTCTTCCCTGGACTGTTTTTCCCATTTATGAAGTGAAACAAACTATTTAAAACTTAAATAATAGCTCTGCATGCTCCTTTTCAAAGAATATCATAGAGACCTGATGATATTGATTTAGCAAATAAATTCATCAAATTATTGAGCATCTGTTCTGTTTCAGATACTACAGTAGGCATTAGAAACACAGTGGTTAGCAACACAGGCACAGATGTGGCCCTGCCCTCCCGAGGCTCACAATTCAGTGAAAGTTTATTTCTCTTGTCTACTCCCTGAGTGAACCAGCTAGACCCCCAGGGCAAAGTTGGGGCTGCCTCCTTAAGCCCCAAGGGAAATAGTATCAATATCATTGCCCCTTCCTGGACCAAGTTGTATGGACAGAAACCCGTCACTTAGGCTCCATCATCCAATAACCCTCACACACCCATAGTGGTGGGAAGAATCCAGAGGTCATTTCCTATTTGGAAAGATGAGTTGTGAGGGGAGAGCATTTTTATTTTATTTATTTATACTTTATTATTTACTTGGAAGAGAAACTCAAGCTAAAAGGAGGCCTGGGGGAGTGGCAGGAGCTGGGAGAGAAGGCACAGCCAGCAGATCTGGGTGTTTCCAAGGTGCTAATTTAAGCATTAGTTCTCAGCTAGTGGGAGGAAAAGGAAGAGATCCCTGTCCTGTTGTTGCTGCTGCTGTTGCCACAGCTGCATGGAACCTCCTTCTAGGGTGTAAGTTTGCCTGAAGGGAGTGACTTCCCTCCTTTCCCCATTACACCAATTACTTAATTGGCCTGACTGCATCTCAGCAGCTGAACCAGGCCAGGGCCTATGCCTGAGAGCTCCCAAGAGTCTCTTCCTGTCTCCTTATGAAAGGAATGAGAGCTCCTCCTGGAGAACTATTCCCTGGGCTCCACTCCTGCTGTGTCTATCTTCCAGACAATCCTGAGTGTTTTTGAGCATAGATTCTCCCAAAGAAACTGCCAGGGAATAGCCCACTTTGTGTCAGCTTTGTGTTCAAGCCATATACCTCACCGATCTAAGGAAGATCTCAGCTGCCCAGGGCTCTCTGTTGAGCAAGTAGGTTGAGTTTGGACTATTGCTTGTATGAGTAGCAGAAACAGGTTCTCTGGCCCTATTGTCTGTCTGTTTGGGAGCAGCTGGACAGTCTACTTCTCTTTGGCTGCAATTGAAGAAAGAGATTTGTTGTAAGTGGATTTTTAATTGTGTGAGACAACACCCTGTCTCCTATGCTCTCAGAGGCTAAAGAGGGTCTCTGTACACTTGAAAGAATTGCTATTCTGGCCTCACTGAAACCAGATTATTCCTTAACGTATCTGTTTAGTTCATGACCATTTCCTTTGTATCCACTCAGTTCCAGGTACTTTAAGGATACAGAGACAAGGCAGATGTCTCCAGCGGATGGCCAGGAGAGAGAGATGGGCTCAAACGGATACAGGAAATTTTTTAGATAGATTTCAGAAAAGAGCAGAAATAAATGGAGAGTGTTCTGAGAAAGAGTAACACCTCCTTTGGGAAAAGGTGAGGAATGCCAAGGTTCTGACCCTTTGACTTGAGTTTCATGATCTTGAGTTTCATGCTCCTACTGCCTTCTAAAACAGGGGTGGGGATAATCAGGACATTAATTCAGTGAGTGGGCCAAAGCAGTTCCTGAAAGTGTCATGGAGAACACTATAAAGATATTGAGTAGTCACTGTGGAAAACTGACCTACATGTATTCTTTGGTCTGGAAAGCTTAAGCTGCATCTTATAGTCAGGTGATTTTTTTAGGTGAAGAATGGACTATCCTAGTGGGTCCATGTGGTTCATGATGTAGCAGCATTTCTCAGGCTTCTGGGAAAGGCAAATCATTCTCTCTCTACATATATTGAAAACTGAAAGACCAGTAGGTGGTATTGCGATTAAGGTGCTGGACTCCCACTTAACCGACTGCGGTTTGAGTCCTGGACCTAGTAGCAGCTTGCTTTCTCACTTTCTCTCTCTCTTCTCTCTCTCTATCACTGGTGAGCACAAATGCCCTATAGCAAATTAAAATAATAATAAATAAAAATATTAAATAAATTAAAAAAAAACTGAGGATCAGGTTCGCTTAGGTGTTCAGTCCTTTACTATTTATCTCCTTACCCAACAAACACTAGGAACCTAGCCTCTGCTAGACATTGTGCTAGACTTAGTAACACAGAATTTTACTGCAGCGAGATGGACAGCCTAGAACAGATTGAGGTTTTACAATATAATGAGCACTGCAAGAGAAGTAAAAACTAAGGTTTTTCACATTTAAGGGCCAAAGGTAAACAGGAAGGGTTCTCATCAAGTAGTCAGAGATTTCACAGAGAAGATATTGCTGAACCCAGTCCTTGGAAAAGGAATAGAAGCTTGGCACACCAACAAGATGAGTGAGGGCAAGAATTGTAGGCAAAAAGCATGGAAGAAGAAGAATGAGAAGAAGAAGAAGCAAAGAAGAAACATTTGGAATGAACGAAGGAATGTAATTAAAGAAATAACATGATTGAATTTGAGTTTAGGTTATCACTTTAATGGTGGATGTGAGATTGGAGATTGGAAAACTAATACAGAG